GGAGTAATCGTGGGAATGGGCACATTCCCAGCAGTTGAACTGTCAGGAACAAATCAATACATCTAGAGGTCCCTCTTAGACGTCGTTCTCTGACTATGAGTGGATTGCTTTAGCGCCCCTATTGTTATTATCAATAATAGGCTCACTAGTTTGTTGTCAATCGTTGCTTAGGGACAAATTTAAGCATCACAGCAGATTTGAATGACCTGGAGTTTAACGTTTATATGCAGATATCTGAGGAAAACTTAGTAAAATATAATTTTTTTTCATCTCTCAAGTCGATGATGACTTCGCCACCAGGGAGGATGAGGAGGTAGCGATTCCACGTGCCTCGTTGAACAAGTTTATCAAGGACATCCTACCGGAGGCTCGCCTCACCAACGAGACCCGTGAATTGATCCTCAGTTGTTGTCATCGATTCATTCATCACTTGTCGTCTATGGCCAACATTGCGTGCACTCAGGCTAACAAGAAGACAATCAACACCGAACACATTCTCAATGGTCTGTTGCCCTTTCCTACCTGCTGACTTTTTGTGGAAACTCGAGTCACCATGCTTAATATTCGTTTTAGAAATTGTTTTTTGTTAATCATTACAATTTGGCTACTTGTAAGTTTGAAAATACTTGCTGGCTGTACTTTTTTTAATTAGCGGCTCTCAGTACTGTTGGTAGCCGTCCGTGCACTATAACCCTCCCAAAATCACATGCTCTCGACGCGTGACAACACCGGAATGTATTGGCACTTATTTACAGTTTCTTGTCTCCGTACGTTGAGCCGAAGGCTATCAAACTAGCTGTCTTAGACGATCTATGCCGAAAAGGTTGTCGGTCTGATATTATCTCGACCTATCGAATACGTCAGAACTTCTGCTTACCCAAATGGTATTCAAAATGCGTCTTAGTATACAATAGTCATTTCACACGATAGCACATAATTGACCGCGAACTCATACTTCCTGACTCCGCGGCCCGAGGTAGTGGTTGTCATATTACGCGTTTACTTCCCTTCTGACGTGGTGTCTCGACTAAATTTATCTCGGGTGAGTGAGTTCTGAAGACGGAATGATGTCAGTAGTTGCTACTATTCGCGGCACAATTATCTACACGACGCAAATGAACCTGAAGCATGAAAAGGTACACCTTAGCATTGCACTAGAAGAAAATTGTCTATCAGAATTTGGGAATGGCAACTTTCTGCTGCGTTGGCTTACAGTGTTTTCGGATATAACACTCACTGGTACTCTTTCGTCATTTCCTTTCATTCTTCTCTTTTTTATTATTGCCTGGAGATCATTTGTTCTTCTGCTGATTGCTTAGGCCAATTTTTAGGCCCTATAAAGTAAAAATAATGGAGCAAACGTCGGATAATCATTGGCCGTGCATATACAAAGACGAGTTTCAACTAGTGACTGAGAAGTGTATCAGGTCGCTGCTAAAAAGGGTTCCTGTCGACCTGATGTTTTGGATTTATACTCAGTCCCATCGGTAGAAGCAAGGAAGGTGTAGAACGTTGCCACATGTTTCTCAACCTGAAGGCAGATTGCTGTCAACTGATAGCGAGCGTTCATAAATGGCGCAATAGTTCATTGACCGCTCAAATCTGATTGGTTGTCTGCCACACCTTCAGCACTGTTGTTGATAATTACTGTGCAACCTACTCTCAGGGGACAAAGTATTTGACGCAGATACTAAGGTGCCGACCGAAAATGTTAAGTATACTTTCAAACGGAAATGGACACTGAGATGAGTCTCCGTATTTATTAGCATTGAACACAAACACATTTCCTCAGAAGACGATGAAATTATTTTTCCCCGGTTTCCAGTGCCAGCCTAAAATAATTACTGAATTCAGCTGCAGAGGGGTTATATAAAACTTCCATTTTGTACTTTCTGTCTTTTAATTTGCCTTGTTATGAAGGTTACGGTCTGAATAAAGCGAATTTTAACGATTTAACAGTGTGATTGTAGGAATGTTTGAGACGCTTTCATTTACTTACAATCACTTCGTATGGTGTACATGTAGTTTCGCAGTGCCGCATCGCTCCATATTTTTATAAACGTTCATAGGTTCGGTTTGGAACATTTAGAATAAGATTAAGTATTCCTTCTGCTCAAAGATAAGCACAAATAACTGCGGTCCAATAATAAAGTAGTCTAGGGCAAGCAAACAAGATATGTAGATAAACGGTAGCTAGCGTTGATCAAGCATACTGTAATCAAAATCCACCCTCTTTCTGCATGAGGCCCAGCCGCGCCTCCTATCAGCATTTCATGCCATTTTTATACGTATCTGTTTGAACACCCTAAGCCTTATTTTTTTACTGAACTTCAGGTTATGTAGGTATACAGTGACCAGTGCATGTTCTGCCACCATCTTTTCCGAACTTATTCCCGGAAAACAATGTTCTACTATTATAAGTCTCTTGCTTTTATCCCGAGTCGCCACGGAACACGCTGCCTTAACAGTGCAGCTGTTTGCGACAGAACTGAAAACTGGCAGAAGACACGTGCCTGTAACGCTTGCGATTTGCCAGCCCCGTCATTAGCTTGATAACTTTCCCTTCCTACCTGTGATGTTGTCTTTCTGGCAGTTTAGTGCGAAGCCGACTCCGCATCTGTTTTCAGTTTGCCCCTTGATTTCTCCATTTGCAGGTCTTGACGCAATGGGTCTCTCGAGTTACAAAGCAGAGGCCCGGGCTGCCAACGAGGGGGCAAAAGTAGAACTTAAGGACCGGCGGATGCTCAGTGCAAGCTACAAGTTCAAACAACACGACAGCGAGCAGCTGGAACTACTCAGGGAGGAGCAACAGAAGATTTTTGAACAGGTTATGTTTCGCTCTAATTTTCTGATCCTTCCCTTGACGCCCGATCATCCCTTCTCTTCCACTCTGCGCCATTAAAATCTCAATTTGTGTGTATTCACTTTTATAGTTCACCACATTACAGCCACCGTAGGCATTTTA